CGAATATGTTAATCAAACGAATTGTCACATATCGCTATTTAATTGGGAATAATCGTTTAGTCATTTTCCATTAACAAACTTCTTAAAAGCAATGTATCGAAAATTATTCAAGTAATTAATTTGTTAATAACAAGCTTCTGTGTGTATTCGTGGCCTTAACGAAAAATTTCATGAAAATATATATAAAAATGATAAATAATAAAAATCTTACGACCGATTATATCTCCCACATAACTCGATCGAACAAAACACGGCATTTTTTTTCATTTTGATATTTGTCAAAAAGCTACATTTTCGCTATTATTTTCGGCTGGCTAAGAGGGAGGGGATCCGTTTTCTTTTAAATTTCTTTTTCTATTCTCTTTTTTCCTCTCATAAAGGATAAACTCTAACCACCTTAACTTTCGTAGAAAAGAAAAATTGTGATGCTAATGGCTTGCGAAATCGTGATGGGTTCCTTCCAGATGAAGGAAGGATAAAACACCGTTCTTACGAAGAGCAAACAGTGGATGGCCACGATCTGAATTTTTCGGCGAAATCGAGTTGTTCGTCCCGTTGCAGAATTAATCGACGAAACAAACTACACAAAACTCCACTCTCGCTTGGATTATTTATTACTATTATTATTATTATTACTATTATTATTATTATTATTATTATTATTATTATTATTAGTATTATTATTATTATTATTACTACTATTATTATTATTATTATAAAACATTGAGTTTAAAAAAAAAAGCTTAACTAATAAATATTTTCAATGTTTCCTTAAGGATTTTCTAACAAAAGTACGCAAATTGTCACGAAATGTTCCAAAATACGACATCCTAAAATTATTATTTTTCGCGTTTCCGGAAAAAAAAAAAAAGAACTTTTACGTTATGTTTTTTTGTTATCAACGTCGATATTATTATTTAGAATGAAATTCCGCAATGGGACGAAAAATCGAACGCCTAATATTAATTTATATATTTGATCATAATACCAGTTAGTTACTTACGATGATTTTAAAAAAGAGGACGTTGAAAACGAAGAATAAAAATCGATTATTAAATATTATGCGGTCGATAATCACAGTAGCGGACAGTTATGAAATACATATATATGCGTGTGCAGCACCACATAATACACCGCGTGCACATACGTACGCATATATATGTATATAATTATATATATATTTTTTCTTTTTCTTTCTTCTTCTTCTTCTTCTTCTTCTTCTCTCGAGTAACAGCCTTTTAGAGTGTGTGTACGTGTATGATATTATATGATTTCTTTTTCTTCTTTTTAATCCGTTTACTTTTTTCAGGCACCATTTGCTTACGAACTAGTTTTTCTCAAATAAATATAAATAATATTATAATATATAATATATATATATAATTAATAATTAACTCACAATGATTATCGAATAGTTTTCTACAATAGTAATAACGATAGGTTATTATTTTCAAGGCTTTT